CCTGGCAGCCTACGCACGATCTAGCCTTGACGGTGGACGTGGTTTATCATGGTGTGTATCTGACCGAAGAGGAAGTACATCCACGGACATGCACTCGCAATCATCCAAAACTGACAAACATGACTGTTCGTTGGTACTAGTAATATACAGTAGTTCAGTAGTCATGTTATACACAATCACAGTACAGACAGTCAGTCATGGACATGTAGTCTAGATCACTATCAAAGTCAACTCTTGAGTCTTGACCCCACATGCAGGCCAGCATACATCAATAATATAAGTCTTGGTGGAGGTTTCAGCTCAGAGTCGCTCTTGTCCACACACGTACACCCCACCAAACGAACAATGCAGCGAATAGTAATAATAATTGTTGACGCTGGTAGCCTGCTGAGTGCATGCACGGCACTGACGTTGCAGGAAAGGTGTCCAACAGGGAGTCGTACTCAAACAAAAAAACAGTTTGAGTACGACTCCCTGGTGTCCAACAATGGCAAAAGCATGCAGTTCTTGAAACATGTACAATGTACGTACATGTACTTTAGAACCGACTTCCCGTACTTGTACTAGTGACTGAGCAAGTAAACAATGAAAGGAGGCGGTCGCTTCAGAGCTCATTCCAGGACCACGCAGTGCACTAGTGGTGAGTGAACACTTTGGCATTGGCATTCACAGTAGTCAGTAGTTGTCATGTTGCACTCTCGCATTATCACTGTATCAGGACATGAAAATGTCAATAACTAAGACTGCACAGCCAGCCGTCACGAGTCATAACAACAAGTCATAGTGAGATCGAGATGTCATCTTTGACTTTGTGAAGTAATACTAGTTCTTTGACTTTGTGAAGTCAACGCATTCCCCCGAGGTGCTGTTTTGCGTTGATCATATCACTCGCACGTCCCCAGTGCTGCCAATACCACTATACACCTGAACACAGCGGCAGCAGCAGAGTCAGACCGTGTTGGACTTGGAGGCACGTTGATACGGTACAGCTGCGTGGGTATGGGTCCGAATAGAATCCTCCTTCTGCCCTCCCCTATCAAGCCGATTAATAATAATTATTATCATTTCTTCACGCCATTACTAGTCTAGCGAGACCCCGCAGACGCTACTCTCTACTTCGTGCGAAAACAATACCTAATCAGTGACGACTGGCAAAGTGACAGGCACATTATTATAATGTCTGCTGCTGCACTGAAACACACCTACGAATTGAATGGACAAACACTGCGGTACAGAATGCCAGTACAATGACTAGGAATACATGAACAATCAGGACATGATGTACTAGCAGTATGCACAAGGCGTAGCTTGACATGGTTATGCAAAACCTGAAATAGTATAGGAGGTTTATTAGGAACACTCCGTGAGCCCTGGTATGGTTACTCAAAACAAAACACTGATGATCTGGCATGCAGGCGGTGGCGCAGATAGTACTCGTCTTTGGTAGTTTGGAACATGCGCTTGGGGACCTCGTGACGCATGGCTGCTGATACATCATTACATGACTGTATCAGTGTATGGTTGTAATCGAAGGACTGAGGTGAATGATCTGCCGCGTATGCCACTATTAGAGAAAGACAATACACTGTACTAATACATGTATGCGATGTCATTGTATGAAACAGCGCTGCATACCTGAGCCATACCCTCACACTTGAAGAGTGATTATGTGATCAATTCTTTGGACGCAGGTAGGCGGGTGAGCACTGTTACAGAACCTTCTCAGTCCCAATGCTGCTATCTCATGGACATGGGAGTTAGCATTTACAATTAAGTAGCTGCAGTTTCAGCCACGTGACTCCGACATAACATGCCTATTCTTCCTCCAGTAACTACAGTTTGACAATGTCAAAGCACTGTCCGTGTTGTGCTTGAGAGAGAACTTTCCAGCGTGCACAGTCACAATTGTACAATGATTCCTGGCGCATTCTTCACTACGGTAGTGCACTGTCGAGCTTCTACTGGCGGCTGGGGTATTGCAGGAATGCGTCACTCATGGTTGACTAGACTAGGTTAACCGGTTGAGCAGAACCAACTACTGTAACAAATTACTAATTTAATACTTCTAGGATGCTTTTCATCCGTGACAAAATCGCAAAGGGTGTCATTGTCTGACCAAAAGCATAATGGGCGCGAGGAAGGGCGTGTTGGCGGGAAGTGTATTCGAAATGCAAGAGAGGCTGCGAAGTACAGTAGTGTCAGTAATAGCCAGGTGTCGCAACCACACCAGAAACACATTATTTCTTGATCGCCCCATATACTGTATCATCTGTATTAAATACATGTACATGTACCGCTGATACATGTGCAAATCACATCTGATGATGATCTGCATGTACTACGGGAACGTAACTAACTTTCTTTAGTTTCATACAATGCCATGGTTCACTACTGCTCCACTTGTAACGCTATAGCAGTGTGTATGGTTATAGTAGTGTGTATGGCTATAGCAGTGTGTATGGTTATAGCAGTGTGTATGGCTATAGCGGTGGGTATGGTTATAGCAGTGTGTATGGTTATAGCAGTGTGTATGGTTATAGCAGTGTGTATGGTTATAGCAGTGTGTATGGTTATAGCAGTGTGTATGGTTATAGCAGTGTGTATTCCCTGTGACTCCACACATCAGAATAGATTTGCCCAAGCACTGCCCCCGTAGGTCGACTGTCCACTAACTTATAGACTAAGAGTTAGTTCCCTTTGAAACTCCTGCGATAAGAGGCTGTAACTCAGTATATCACTTTCAGCTTCTGTTCTGCAACGAACTTTGTGCAATCATCATACGTCGAATGATGTACATTGTACAATATATTATCATGTACTTGTACGATCTTGTCCATCAAGATGCTGGCCACCACCAACCAGAGCGAGGTCACCACCAACCAGAGCGGGTGCAGACATTCAGAACACACGGGCGACGATAGGGTGTGCAGCCCGATAACGACTCGACGTTTGCAAAAGTATTAGTAGTGTTATGAGGTCGCACCAAGTTGAAGAAAACACCCGGCTTACCCTTCGGGAGATGCCAATTAATTCGTTTCGAGAATGTCGCAGTGTAATATCACAATACTTTGAAGTAACTGTTCTCCAATTATCCCCCATTTTGCCATCCTGATTCACCGTTTTAAAACTACTTGACCTAAGATTGACCCGTTTTGCAAAGTTTCAACTTTGCCTTTGGACTACGGACGTGGTCGGTCGTGCGATACAACCAGGAGATTGATGATAACGCTGTTAGTGTGTAGAAATAGGACTGCTTTACGGCATGTACATGTACGTGCACGTGTATAGGACTTTAAAAATCTTTGAGTCTTTGTAACATGTCGGTCACTGTCATGCTAATGGTCGATATCAGCCAGCGGCAGTGTGTCAATGCGTGAATGAAGTGTGAAAACTGTAGTATGTGACGTAGTGCGTGTACAGAACTGAGTCAGACTTATTCATGAAGTGTTACAAGACTGGTATGATTGTACTTACCAGTTACCGTGCAGATACACCCCCGCCACTGAGAAGCACTGAGAAAGATTCCGATGTCGGCGATCGCCCTTTCCGTCTAGTGTGCTTTTGTCTTGGCTTGATATGACTAACTCGACGTCAGTCTTCAGCCAAGCCACAGCACAGGCCCACTCAGTACAGCCAGTCCGAGACCGGGAGTTCATGGCCCCGTCCCGGTGTCCGTGATCCTGCGATGGCCAATCACTGCCATCACTCAGCTTGACCGTATGCCGAGTTGTGAGCAGCTCGGACGCTCGAGTCGAAATGCATGATTGCACAAGCGAGTGAAGCGACCCAGTCTTTGCCGAGTCATGCGCTTGTCCACGAAGTCGAACTCCAAGGCGAAGGTTCACAGAGTACAGTACTGTCAGCAGGTCAATGACCATTCGTAGTCCATCCGGGCCGTATGCTCCGTAGTCTAAAGCGTAGATCTACGCAGTAGATCTACTCACGGATTGACTGCCCACTGCACTGCATGCTGGACTTCTCGCGCCTGGCACGGCCAGGTCATCCAGCGAGTGCCATGCCAGCGCTGCGGCGGCCTGTCATCCACGCGTCGGTGATTCCCAGGACGCAATCGCAGGCTCATTTCGCGCACTTCTATGTGACCGTGCATATTCTGGGATGGTCGACAGTCGATCAGGCTGTCCAAGTGTGACTGTGAGGCCCGGCGTATGTTTCCGCCTTGTCCATCGTATCACAAGCAAACGCCAAATCAAACTGCATTCATTCTGCGCCCCAGTGCAGAGCAGTCGGCCTCGTTTCCCGCTGTGTCAGTCATCACCATACGGCGGTGAAGAAAGGAGCTCTCCAACTACTAGTAGTAGTTCTACAAACCACTGGTCCCTGCTGCTGCTCGCCTGAAAATTATTTTCATAGAGAATTATTAGAGCAGCGCTGCTGACTGTTGTTGGAAACTGCTTAGTTCTGCAAGAGCGGAGGTTTGGCGCTGTGTGCTACTGTGGATGTCAGCCGGACGCGGACGTTGCCGTACTGTTTGTGCAGTACGACTCTATTGGCGCGATACAGGGTGCTTTCTTGCGCCCAGGAAGCAAGATCTGCTGGTGTGAAACGTAGCAGAATGCACTGGCGAAGCGGCCAGGCTAGAGCGCCGCTGTCCGTGCGCCTCGCGCCGTTCACGGTGCTGCTGTTGAGTCTGCTTCTCCTTGCACCTTCGACATGTTGGGCAGCCTTCCGACCACGCTTCATCAGCGAACCACAGGATATCCTGGTCTCTCCGAACGAGCCGTTCACCGCGGTGCTCCCCTGCACACCAGCCGCACCGGGCGATGTGCGAGGTGTGCAATGGCAGTTCGGTGAGGCTATTATAGAGAGGGCTGGTGATGGACTCGCGCCAACCAGGAGTAGGAATCGCACCACGTGGATGCTGCAGATCGACGATCGCTTGACCTCCAGCAGTCGCAGATTGCTAGGACAGTATTCATGCATCGTGGACTATGGCATCTACGGCAAGCTGAAAAGTCGAACGGCCCACATCAGAACGTTCGGTGAGTGATGGTGATATTTTGTGTGAGTTGACTTGTTAGGGTGGTTTAGCGCTGGTCGAAGAAATGCAGTTTCAGGTGTCACCCGACCTTTGATTCCAACAGGCTGAATCCTACTCATCCCTGCCCGTGGGCAAGCGTGGAGTAATAGAAACTGTTCTCCGAACTCGAGGAGGACGTCAAACTGCTGTTGATGCAGCGGTTTTGGATTAGGTTCGTGTGTACGTGGGCTTTCCCCAGCTACCTCGGGTGTGACATTTTTCTGTCGGCGCAGATCGGATTGGAATGAAAATGTCGTTGTTTGTAGGTTTTCGGAAAGCCGCAAATAGTGCGATATAGTGCGAGTCTCTCCCGCTACTACTAGTACTAGCAACTCGTGGAAGAGTGGGCGCGCAGTGCTTTCCCGCAAGCTGCTACGCGTCTGCGGGCGTTTCGGAAAGTACTGCAGTGGACACTTACAGTACGTCTTTAGGTATTGGTATTGACGAGAGGGTATACTCAAAGGGTATTGCTGTGACACCAACTCATGTGCTCCTTACTTCGTCCGGGCAGCGAGACAACCCAAACGCAGTCCAGGACACATAAAACAGTGTACCGTGCTGGTGCAAGAAATCTGGCCAGACACGAGGCCACAGTAGCCAGACTAGCCGAGTAGGAATCGTCCATGGGTATGTCTGGATACCGTGTGCAACTGTGTGTGTGCTGTCGACATGTCACAAACCAGTGGCTTCACTCTCCTATCCTCCCCCCAGCGTAGAGGAAGCAGGAAATTGATTTGGCGGTGGATTGTGTGGGTATCAGAGGAGGGCAGGTTTCTCACAAAATATCTGCCCTGGGCCTCGCACTGACCTGGTCTGTAGGTGGTGCAAGTCATGGCTTTCACGATTACTCGTTTTGGAAATTTAGCCACTTGCAAGCCTCCAACTCAGGCAAAGAAAGTGGCACCGCACAATTGCGTCCTGAGGACAAGGGCCTGGTTGTAACGTAGTAGGCAAGAGCAGTGTCATTGTAGGTGCCTTGTAGTCTATGCCAGGTTGGAATACTGACCAGGGAGTAGACAATGCAGTTCCCTGCAACATTACTCATTAGTCCAGTACAGGGCGCGCACCTGTGTAGTCAATGACTCATGTCATGTACAGTATAATCAACATTTCAATTATACGTATTGCAGAGCAATGTGATTGTGACTACATGCATGTACATTGTGGCCATGCTGCAGGTACTGTAAAACACGTTGTTTTCGGTGTAACTTTAAATTTCGGTGATTTAAGGCGCTAGCGTATGCACTGTATGCGACGGGAATGCTGGTCACCTAATTCCATAATTACACCTAAAACCTGGCAGGTCCCTGACACTGAAATTGTAATACACCTAAAATCACATGTTGTACAGTACTGTAACATTCTTGTGCAGTGAACTGTGCATCAGTGCATAGCAACACGGCACACACATAACATTAGAATGGCTGAGGACTTACTGTGCTAAATATGCGCGGCATGTGCAGCATTTCCCTGGGACTGGGGGTGAAGAATAGGAAAATAAGACTGCAAAATTGCACTTGTCCATGAGGCCCTAAATCTGTATCCATCTGTTATCGTATGATTCATTGTGACAGGTGAATACGGAAAACGCTGTGCTATATCCAGTAAATAGGCTGGCATCTAAATGAGTTTGTTCCGGGCCTGGCAGTGTGTTGGGAGGGCAGGCCAGAATCTCATGCTGTGACACAGGCTGAGGACTTCTGGAGAAGAAGGAAAACATATGCAGTGTCACAGTGGTACGGAGTATTCCTAGGGTAAACACTTCTTGTGTAGGACGTTTGCCCGGTATGGCGAAGGCAGGCTTGGCCATGTGCTTCAAGCTGTGCCAGCCGTGTCAGCTGTAACCAGTCATGTCTTGCCTGCCGTGAACCATGTCTTGTATGTTCTGTTGTGAGAATAGGAAAGAGCAGTCAAGCATTGGTGCAATTTTTTCACACAACATCAGCCTGCGTCACAATCACCTTAATCTGTACAGCAAAGCCAAGCCTCTTTGAGTTGAACACCAGGGAGGCTGCTGGAGTCTGTTTCTGATGCAACAAAAAAAACAGGAGGGTTTTGTCATAAGGACTTTTTACATGGCAACTGCTTAGCAAATTGATCAATAGAGATGTACACAATAGTCATGCTGGGGCTTCTAAAGAAAAGGTTTGTCTTGTACACTGAGTAGGGGTGTCAACCAGGTTCTGCTGTATTTCATGAGCTTGGAAGAGTTACAGGGACCTAGTTAGACGAGAGGCTAGATTCTATTCTCTGTCTCACATGTACGGCGAAACCTCGCCAAGAGGAACACTGATAAGACAAACGTTCGCTTTAGAAGAACTAGCATCTGTAACCCAATTGGATAAATTACTATGTATGCACTCTGTACACAGAACAACAATAGGAAAGGCTAGTTTTCTGCTACTCTGCCATCTATTGTGTATAAAATGTGGATGAGAAGAAATCCCGTGACAGAGAATAAACAACAGTGGGTCGTTGGTGTCCATCCTGAAGAGGTTTGGCCGTGTACATAAAACGTCCCTCCATGATGGCTACTGACTCACTCCTTGTCCAGCTGGTGCAGAAGCAGACGTTACTACTCCAGCGCTTGTGTGTAAACTCAGTCGACAGTTTACATGTACACACTTGGAGATCGGTGTAGCTAGGGACAGTGTGGCATTTGCCTTTTTCCCATTGTGCTGTCATGGATAGCGGTGTGTCAATGCTGGTACAACTGTAAGCGTGTTGCAGCTTGAACCCCAAACATGCTACATAGGTCAAAACGGATTTTAAACCTTGATGCAGGTGTGTGTTTGGGCGAATAGGATCTCCACCCAGTGCTGGAGCAGCTCTACTGAAATACCAAACTAATTGTAGTTTGTCAGTCGCTTGTGCCAGTTGACATGGCTTTGTCTGAGGCGAAGCAAGGCAATGCTGGAGGTAACGTGAGTCATGAGAGCAACGTCATACGCGTCTTCACGCTGTGCTGCGGGGCTTTCTTGTGGTCCGCGTCCGATGGGGTCCGTTGAAGGCAGATACTTGGTGAAGAGAACTTGCCTTCTGCTAAGGTATCGAGTTCACTCCCGTTATGCCTTGCCTTAGGCATTTCTGTTGGTGGAAAGCGAGTAAAGTTGACATTGCTGCCAGTTTGGGCTCTCTCACAAAGAGAACTTGTTTGTGATTCCCCCAAGGTGTTGACAGAATGCCCTCCAAATCACCCTCCAAAATGGTGACCAGAGGAATCCGATCCTGACCTATAGGTCTGTCTGCTAATGGATGAAAGTCAATACCCGCCATTCAGAATGTCTAAAAATGACTACTTGTAGCTGAAAAACCAAAAAAAAGTACCGTTATTGGTTGTCAGCTAGGTCGACGACTTGACCTTTTTTCCCATACAACTCGTAACACGCATACCAGTACTCAGTGAGCAGTGCTTATGGAACAGGGTCTCTAGTACCTTGCCAGACCATCTTTTCAGAAAGAATGTGCGATGTGAAGCTTAGAAACGCTGTGGCGTGACTACCGGTGTACAACGCATTCTCTTGGTTAAATGTTTCATCACGCTCTTATTGAGGTTTATTTAGCTGTTGAAGCATGCTGTGACCACCCATGATGCACTGAAAGCTGTCTCTGTGGACAGGTGGTCGTTAAACACAGGTTGGGTCAGAATGTATGCTGAGCAATCGTAGGGGGCCTGGGGTGAATGGTCTCAAAACGAGGTTGGGCTCCTGTTGCACTGGCCTCTAAACACAGGTGTCACTGTTCTATTGCATATGTTCTGTGTAGTACTGTGTAGTCTGCACCATCAATGGCAGCAACAACAGCTTTGTGCTGGATCATGAGTCCTACTAGTACCATCCTTATTGTTCTCGTATTGTTGTGGTATTTGGTACGTCTTGGACATGTGGAATTATACAGACGTGAGAAGGAGAGAGAGAGAGAGAGAGAGAGAGAGAGAGAGAAAGAAAGAAAGAACGAGAGAGAGAGAGAGAGAGAGAGAGAGAGAGAGAGAGAGAGAGAGAGAGAGAGAGAGAGAGAGAGAGAGAGACACTCGTACACGCACACACACATGCGTCGCACCAGTGTCCTCCGGCTTTTTCGTGCATAAATGGCAGCGTGTTTTGTACATGGAATGAGGTGTGCCCGACAAGCAATCTCCCTGTCCTTGGCACTTGGCAATATTCCATTGCAGTGTACTTGGATATTTGGCCTGTGACTTTGTCGGCACCATGTGAGTATTACATGAACCTCAAGTGACTTGTAAAAAACTAACGCCTGTAGTTTCTCAATAGAGGTGATCACCCGTCACACACAACAATTGTTTTGAGGATTGATATCGGTAACTGGAGATCTTCAGGCGAAACGAATCACTGGAACTTAATTGAGCACCTTGGGCAAGAGTAGACGTTCTGTTACTAATTGTGTTGGTCTGTGTGTACCTCTCAGCAGACAGTGGTGGCCTCAGCACCTCGTGAGGTGCTAAAATCTTGGAGTGACGTTTGCTGTAAGCTATCACTTGTGATTGAAACACACGTGTGGATGGATAGCTTGGTCGCTTTCCCCACTCGCTCCTCCAGTTCTGGGCGTAGATATTGTAGTGATCATCCCATCAGCTCGGTCACACATTAATGAAGTGTTTCTTGCAGGGATTGCAGTGGGTTTTCAAGTGCCGGCGGTTCAGGTGCTTGCATTGTGTTTGTAAAAAATGTTACAACACGATATGGAGATTTCAATGTAACACTAGTGGAGATCAGTTACTTATGTTGCAGAGATAGGCCTGGCGGAAGCAGATCCTGATTTTCCGAACCTGAATTTGCAGTATGTTCGCTCTGTTTCCAGTGTGTAGACAGAGAGGCAGGACATGCTTGCTGGTCTGTTACCAGTGTAGATACGTTTGCATGGCGTACGGGCAGCATCTGAAGGTGTGGCGAATCCGCTCTGAGCTTGACATAATGGTACCAGCTGTGATGGCCGCACTTACTC